AAAAGCCTTTTCTGCATCTATCGATATGACAATGTGGTTTTTGTCTTTGAGTCCATTTATATGATTAATGACGTTTATTGACCTGTGTATGTTGAACCATCCCTGCATCTCTGGGATAAAGCCTACTTGATCACAGTGAACGATCTTTTTGATGTGTGTCTGTATGCGGTTTGCAAGTATTTTTTTGAGAATTTTTGCATCTATGTTCATTAAGGATCTGGGTCTATAGTTTTCTTTTTTGGTTGTGTCTTTATCCAGGAGTTCTCCCTCTGTTTCTATCTTTTTGAATAATTTAAGTAGTATTGATTAGAGGTCTTCTTTAAATGTCTGGTAGAATTCTGCTGTAAGTCTGTCGGGGCCTAGGTTTTTTTAGTTTGGAGGCTTTGTATTACTGTTTCAATTTCCTCATATGTTATGGGTCTGTTTAAAGTGTTGATCTCTTCTTGGTTTAACTTTTGTGGTTCCCATGATTTTAGATATCCATCCATTTCTTTTAGATTTTCAAATGTGGTAACGTATAGGTTTTTAAAATAGTCCCTTATAACGGTCTGGATCTTTTGGATGTCTGTTGTGATGTTTTCCCTTTCATCTCTGATTTTGTTGATTTGAATTTTCTTTCTTTCTTTCTTTTGGTTAACTGGGCTAAGGGTCTGTCTATCTTGTTTAGCTTTTCAAAGACCCAGGTCTTAGATTCATTGATTCTTTGTAATGTTTTCTTTGTTTCTATTTCATTCATTTCTGCTCTGATTTTTGTTATTTCTTCTCTTCTGCTGGGTTTGGGTTTCATTTGTTCTTGCCTTTCCAGGGTCTTGAGTTGCAGTCTTAGGTCATTTATTTGGGCTCTTTCTAATTTTTTAATGTAGGCACTTAGAACTATAAACTTCCCTCTTAGGACTGCTTTTAAAGTGTCCCAGAGGGTGTGTTGTGTTGTCCTTTTTGTTTAATTTCAGGAATTCTTTTCTTAATTCTCATTTCATTCTTTCAGTGCCTCATATCTTTGTTTTTGAGACAGGGTCTCACAGGGAATGGCTGGCCTGGAACTTAGAGATGTCTCTGCCTCCTGAGTGCTAGAATTAAAGTTGTCACCACACTCCTCCTGTCAAGCCCTTTTATAAAGGCATTTATCATCTCAGGCCTATGGATCCCTCCCGACCTAAATAACTCCCAAAGGCCCCACCTCCCAATACTGTTACATTTGGAATTAATTCTCCAACACATGATTTTTGGAAGGGGGATATTAAAACCACAGCACTCCTGGTATTATTATGAGGGGAAAAATGAGTTAACATAATGTAAAACAGTATAGTTTTAAAAAAATTTATTATTTTTATTTTATGTGTTTGATTGGATTGCCTGCATGCAGCTGTGTTGTGCAATGCCCTCAGATCAGAAGAGGGCATTGAATTATCCTGGAACTGGAGTATAGACTGTTGTTAGCCACCATGTGGGTACTGGAAAATTGAACCCAGGTTCTCTTCAAGAGCAGCCTGTGCTCTTAACCACTAAGCCATCTCTCCAGCCCCATCTTTGCTTAACTTAAAAAAAAAAAATTTGTCCTTTTGAGACAGGGTCTCTCTGTAGCCCCAGCTGGCTAAAATCTTGTTTTAAACTATTTACACAAGTCAACTAATTAAAATTCTATTTGGTTCTAGAATAAACAGTAAAATGACCAGTGATAAATACTATATATTTAAAAGAACTGAAATACTTTCTATGTACTTCTGTTCTCTCAGCTAACAGATGAGTTCTAAATATTTCTGGGAGTAGCCTGACATTTCTAGGTGATTATCAGCTCTGAGATCGAATTCCAAAGTCCATGGACTCCAAACCTCATTTGAAAAAGCAAGAAAGACTTATAAACTGTGAATATTACTATTATAACAACAATTGTACAGCACTTTCCAACTTTTAAATCAGTTCCATATATACTGCATTATAATATTTGAGCATTAGATATTAAGCCTCTTTAAAAAATAGCTATGATTGTGCCCCCCCCCTAAAAAAAACTAGTGAAAATAAAGACTAGTTCTCCAAGTAGAAAGACTACCCAGCATCAGGGGACATCCTTATGGTGATTTCAAAGTTCTTGCCTATAATATTTCTGGTTTCTATTACTGTTCATTTGCCCATTCAACAAATATTCATGAAGGACCTGATCCTAGACATAGGCTGTGGGGAAACCTACTAGACCTTGGGTAAGAAAATTATATTCTAGGGCTGGAGAGATGGCTCAGTGGTTAAGAACACTGGCTGTTCTTGCAGAAGACCCGGGTTTGAGCCCCAGCACCCACATGGCAGCTAACAACTGTCTATAACTTGAGTCCCAGGGTATCCAACAGCCTCTTCTGTCCTCCACGGGCATTACATGACATGGGTGCACTTACCCACATGCAGGCAATACATGCATACACATAAAATAAAAAAAATTAAACATATATTCTATTTATGAAGAATGTGAGGAAACCCACACTTAATATGGAATTAAATCTGTAAACTCTTTGAAGAAAAAGTCCTTATTAAAATGGTCAGAGATTATGAATAATTTTTTCCTCTTTCTGTATTTCTGTGTGAATCGTTTTCTGGCTCATTGAAAGAATTACAAGAGTGATAGACATTAATATTCAGGAAATAAAGGTGTGTGTGTGTGTATGTGTGTGTAAAGCATAACTAGAGCTGGAGAGATGGCTCCTTGGTTAAGAGCATTGGCTGCTCTTGCAGAGAATCCAGGTTCAATTCTGAGCACCCACATGGTGGCTAAAAACCGTTTGTAACTCCAGTTCCAGGGGATCCAACACCTTCTGACCTCTACAGGCATTTCACAACACCTGTGCACCTACCTACATACAGGTAATACACTCATACAGATAAAGTAAAGATATATTTTTTAAAAAGCATAACTAATGGTGAAAACTATGGCAGCAGCCTGGCTATTGGTGTCTGGGGGAGAGGGAAGAGTAAAGAAAGAGTCACAGGACAGATTCTCAAGGACTTTCTCTGGGAGGCCTGGAGATGGGGAAGGTGATCAGGTTACTTTTCTTTTCTACCCTCAGTTGTCTGGGGAGGAAAATGCAGAAGTGAGGGGACTCTAGTATCTCCCAAGCTTGATTTTAAGCCAGCAGTGGGGTAGGCGGTTCTCCTGAGCTCTCGTCCTCCTTCCTCTTTTTCTCCTTCTACCCCTATGTCTGCCCTCCAGCAGGTACCTATCTAAGGGTGCTGCTAATGGTCTTCCTTGTGAAGTTTTGTGCTGAACCCTGTGGCTTTGAAGATGCTTCGTTGGGTATTACTGATGAAACTATCTGTATCAGTTACTTTTCAACTTAAGGATTTATACTGGTTCACAGTTTGAGGGTACAGCCCATCTTGGCTAGGAAACCAGGGCAGGAGAGTGAGGTAGCTGGTCATATTGAGCCTGTAGTCAGGAAGTAGAGAGAGACGAATGCTGGTGCTCAGCTCGCTTTTTCCTTTTTATTCAACTTGTAACTCAAGTCTGTGGAATGGTGTTGCCCATGTTTAGGGTGAGCCTTCACATCTCATCTAACCTAATCTAGATACTTCAGGCCCTACCAAGTTGACATTCAAAATTTCCCAGGAAAATTTTATGTTCTTTGAATTTCTCACAAGGGCCCACTTTTTGGGTAAAAAAAAAAAAAACCTCTCCTTGATTAAAA